GTTTTATCCAATGTCTGGGAGCTTGAACTCATCCTTGAGTTCACCCAACCGAACTTTCCGCTTGTCATGGGACTTCACGTTCATAGAGTATAGGTGCCGGTCTTCTAATCACTTTAGCCAATAAATTTCAGGGCCGATGGCTACTCATGATGTCCATTGGGACATTTTGATGAGCGACGGCTGTTCATAACTCAACTTGCCTACCCAGAACTTCGCGTTGTTTTTGACTATTCTGTTTCCCAAAGTCTGCCCGAGAGATTCAGTATTGGCTTAGGAAGCGCGAAACCCAGGATAGAAATCCTGCAGAATTCTCAATTTAACCTACCCTTCAGGTTTCGCAGTGTTCGTATGAGTTATTGCACATTCTAAAGGCGTTCGCGAACTATACCTTCAAATTGCTCATTTATCTACCAGCCTTTTAGAAACATTTAGCCTCCTCCAGAGGGCAGTAACTTGTCAACCGAATATTCGAAAGTCTTGTTAAGTTTGCAGGCTTACAAGCAGTCGGAGAATATATTGTGCAAATACATAGTAAGTTGATCTAGTTTACGTAAAGTTCTGGGGAAGATAGATGAAACAATCGACTCGCAAAGAGTCCCGAAGTTCCATTCAGGAGTATGCTGCATCTTGTTATGCCAGGTGTCAAACACCGCGTTCGCAACTCGTGGCGGAAAGTCAGAAATGTTATAATTGAAGTATTCGTTCCTTTATGGTAAAATGACACATGTGTTCGTCTTTCTAGCACCCGAAAAGATGTATCAAGTACGCGTTTCTGGACTGGACGAAGGAGGCATTCTGCGTCTTCGGCCAACTGGTTCAGCAAAACTTGGTTGCGAAGTTGTTGGTAGGTGCCTTTCCCCGAAGTGCGCTGGTATTAGAATTAACCTTGAGTCTGTCCCATTGAACTCTATCCATCTATTCCCTTTTTTGCAACTCATGAAAGCATCCTCTCAAAATTGCTGTTTACATTACCTCCTTTTGCGTCTTTCATGCTCTATGCTCATTGAGATCTGCCCTTCACATACACAGATAAAGTAACTGGGGGACCGGTTGATTTTGCCAAATCTACGAACGTCATTGGCTGGACCCTGCCAATCTACCAATCCGGTCTTGTGGGCAACCCGGGTGACCTTGCGGCACATTTGTATGGCGTGGGTAATGAATTATTCATCGGCGGAGTCCGGTCTGGCCTTCCCAGCAGCCTTCGGGGAAGATGTTGGTTCCACGACGGTCGTGTTTATGTGCCGTCGCGCAACTTCTGGATTTCAGTCTCCGAACAGAGCGGTAAGCTTAAGTAAATATATAGACGGGGAATTAGGGATGGACTTCCGGTTCTCGAAAAATCTAGTATTACTTGGAGCAAGTCGGTTTGGGATATCTACTGCACTATCGAATATTTGCATAGTGCTAACAGCAGCACTACGTACTGAGTGATGGATGCGCTCATATTGTCATCCTGTTGAGGACTCATCTTTGTTCCACGATTTCTACGCATCCACAAGTCAAGCTGTAAGTGATGGATAAGCAGTTTGTTAGACTACTTTTCTTTACGAAAAAGAGCAGTCTAAGTAATCGCCGAATTATTGGCCTAACTTTGAGGATACAAGCGAGACTTGGGAATTATTGACACTTCATGATGCTAACAGTTTCATAGCCAGTCCGCAATATCCTTAAAAACCCAGCACGCACATGCTATCACTAGAGAACGTGTCGAATTCCAGTTGTAGACGGACTTCGGCGTTGAAAATTTGCAGAATTTAAAATATCGTAAAAATTCTGACCTGGTGGTAGTAAACTCCCAATCTGTTCTTCGATGTATTGGTTAGCAATTAATCCTGCTATGTTGGGAAGAGAGAAAATTCGAGTCAACAGACGAATTCCGACAGTGATTGAACAGACGACCACAAGGATCATATATATGACCGCCGTCTGACTTCCCGCACACGACACATCGAACATTCTCGCATGCTAATTCTTATTACATGACCTAAAAGGAGATTTTGTGGGGTTAGATGGTCTCAGGATGATAATTTCAGTCCTTTTCAGGGTACACATCTTGCTTGCATAGGACAAACGTCCCCTAAAGTGGTTGTAAAAAGGCTTGCGTTTGTTAAGCATGTAAGGTTAGAGCCAAAGCGCATGCACCCTTGTCTGAATACTTTTCACTTTCACGTATTTTTCATTTTAGGCTCGGATGGACGAGTGAAGCCCGTAGTGGAAGAAATCCCGACGGACTCTCCAGACGATAAGAAATTCCGATGCAAAGCTTACGGTAAGCCTCAGACTTATACTTCTTAGATTGGAATTAAAATTTAAAACGCAAACCCGACTTATGACTAGCGTTTGCAAAGTAACTACCTGAAAAGACGTAAGTTCTACCACCTCCTTTATCTAAGTCAGTTCTTCAGTTAAGTGGTCACACTTTTCTTCTAATCGCTGAAATCACGAGAGTACTAGCTTGGTTCGGAAATCGCATCCACAAGTGCAAAGGAGACTAAGACTGCCATCTTTAGCCAATTCGTCGCTGCCGTCGCCACTAGCACCAGTGGTAGCGTCCCCGCCACTGTCATCCTCTCCCTCTTTGTGCCCATAATCATCATCCTCATCCTCATTCTCCTCCTCCTCCTCT